CCCCCCCCCGCCCGTTGTACCGGCTTGGTTTTGTCGCTCCAACGTGCAGCTTTCCATCTTGCCGTTCTCCGTTTTTTTCAGGCGAACGAGTTCGGGAAACAGCGCCGCAAGAGGGATGCCCGCGCCGCTTCCGGCAATGGGATGTTCTCTCCCTCCGCTGAGCAAGCGGAAGATATGGTGAGCGCCTGGGAGCGGGCGGCTTCTTGGTGTATCGAAGGTCCTTGAATCGGGAGGAACTTGTTGGGTGTGTTTCTGGGTCCTGGGGGCACCGGCGTGTATTGTTGTTTGGGAGCCGCCGTGTTTTGTTCTGTCCCTTCAAAGACAGGGTCGGTTGGAACGCGTCTGTTCAGATGGGAGGATGGATGCCAATTCGTCGTCGTCTGTGGTTGAGGTACAAGTGTGCTTGTACTGCTGCTGCTACTCCTTCTTGCCTGGGAAGGCCCCTGGGTGCTCTGCGCTACCGCCGATATCAAGCTCGGCAGTGTGTTCGTTCGTTGAGCCTTGTGCCCGATGACGTCATGATGGGTGGGCGGCGCAAGCGTGTTGTGTACAGCTTGCGTTTTTTTGCCCGCTTTTTTCTTGTGTTGTTTTTGGAAAGCTTCCTTCGCTCTCACGGTCTTCAATTCGTGTGGTGTCTTACAAAGCCGCATGGTACACGGTGCGCGACCCCAATGACCACCAAAACCGTCGGAATGATGCCGGCAATTCGTTGTGTTCCGGGTCGGCGTTGACTTGCGTTTGCCGGATTTTCGTTTCTTGGTTGTGTACCGCCTCGCCGTGTTGTCGCAGGCGAAGCAGCGAGAGTTTGAGGAGAGGTGCCAGTCTCTCGCCACCGCCATCTCCCTCACCCAGCAGGAGCAGATAGAGACGTGCCTTACCTACCGCCTCTTCGCGGTCGGGCAGCTGCACCAACGGTACCGGCGGCTCCGGCTGTTCTTCGCACAGCTGGGGTCCCGCGTCGGCGCGAGGGAGTCGCAGGCGACCCTCCTCTGCGGAGGGGAGGGGCAGGCCGAGGAGCGGATCAAGATGGTCGGGGTGTGCCTGATGCTGGGCGTGGTGGAAGAGGCGTGCTTGAAGTGGACGGCGGTGCAGAACGAGAGGCAGCTGGTGGAGGGGATGAACCGCGAGGTCAGGCGGTTAGTCGTGACAGAGNGGGGGGGGGGGGGGGGGGGGGGGGGGGGGGGGGGGGGGGGGGGGGGGGGGGGGGGGGGGGGGGGGGCATACCGAGGTTTGGTGCCGGTGGTCGCACAGCGGTTGATGCGACACTCCGCGTCGCTTTTATGGTGTGTTGGCTATTTGGTGTGTCTGAAGGGAGAGTTCGGTTCGCCCGCCCAAATATTAATTTCCAGGCAAGAGTGCAAAATGTGACGCTTTTTGGTATGAATGTGTGCATGACGCCTGGTTTTACTACAACGTAGCGTTAGAGGTGCAAAAACGCGTCACACGCGTTTTGCGACAAGACGTTATTTATGTTGTGTATTTGGCGAGCTGGAGAGCTCATTTGCTCCTGCATCTTAACTTCTTGCCCTAAATACTGCGACTGCTGCGTTTGGTTCACGCTGTCTCTGTTGCATGTGACAGCGGCAAACGACGTTATTGTTTTTTCCTTCGACCGATGTAGGTGTCCTTACTCCTCCCAGTCCACCCCATGGGGGTAATCTTACAATTGTTGCCAGGACGCAAGTCAAGACGCGAAGCGACGGAAACGCGAGCGGGCCAAGGCGAAGGTCCGCGAGACCAAGACAGCTGCGGCGGCGGCGGCTGTAGCCAAAGCTGCGGGAGCACCCCCTGCTGCTGTCGCCTCCACCTCCTCCTCCTCCTCCTACTCCAAGGAAGGTGACGCTGTAGACCCATCGCCGGCACAGGCGAGCGCTGAGGGCGGGCAGGCTGCCGTTTCCGGTGCCGAGGCCGCCACCGCCGCCGCCGACGAGGACGGCCGTCAACCCCCTGCCCCTGGAGACAATGAAGACAGCTTTCCACGGGAGCATAGAAAAGTGTCGTCGGGAAAAGGCTTGGGCAAGGCGCCTGCAGCCGTAAGAAACGGGGAGGGGCGGTCTACGACGGGGTGGCGCAGGGCTGATGGAGCGGCGCCGCCGGCCGGAGACGAGGACGAGGACGGCTTCGTGACGATCGCCAAGTCCAAGCCTAGGCGATCAACCGCCACCGCTGCCGCCGCTCGCGAGAGCTCGTTCCTTCAGCAGAATGGCCGGCCGTGGGGGGGCGGGCGCGGGGGGGGTGGAAGAGACGGCGGGGGCAGAGGTCGCGGAGGGGGGGGTGCCGCTGGCGGAGGGTACGGGTACGAGGAGAGACACCGCGCACCACGAGACGCTGGGTCGTATGAGCCGGATAGGAAGTCTAGGGTTGCTGGGGCGGCAGTGTCTGGGGGCGCACGGCTTTCGTCGTCGACCTTGGCCACCGGCGGCTGGGCGGAGCGGAACAGGGGGGATGTACAAGAGCCGACTGAGGTCGGTGCGGCGGTGGCCACTGCTGCTGCTGCTGCTGCTGCTGCTGCTGCTGCTGGCAATGGGTGGCCGGGTGTTGCGGACGCGAACGGCAGCGGGAGACGAAGTCGAAAGGATCAAGGCGGTAGCGATCAGCGACCAGCTGCCGCCTCCGCCGCCGTTACGTCGAGACAGGGCGGCGGGTGGGCAGCGGCGGCGGCGGCGGCGGGGGCGGCCAGCGGCGGCAGCAGCGCGGTGGTGTCACCGGCAGCAGCAGCGGTTGCGGCTGCGCCGCAGGCGGCCCCCCCACCACCGCCGGCGGGAGCGGGGGCGGCGGGAGGGTTACCGGTGGCGCCGGAGGAAGAGCTTCCGGCGGACTCTACGGAAGAGGCGGCCGCGGCGGCGGAAACCGGGCGTGTGGTGAAAAATGCGGGGCAGTTTGGCGGGGACGAGGTTACAGGCGCCGAGGAGGCGGAGGAGGTTGGGAAAGCGGGCGGCGCAGCGGGTGCCGCATCGAACGGTGAGCTTGGCCCGGAGCGGGAGGTGGCGGGGGTCGCGCCGGAGGTTGCGAACGAGGGGGACAAGGCCGAAGGCGGCGCGGACGCTGGGGCGGCGGCGGAAGAGGAAGAAGAGGAAGAGTTCGTGTTCCAGTTTGGCACGGTTAACTTGTCGGACGACGATGCCGCTGCTGCTGAAGAGGATGCAGGCCGGGACGCGGGTAGTGATACCGCCGTCGAGGCGAGACACAGCCCGGAGAACCTGAGGTACCACGGCGGCGACATCGACGGAGAGCTTGAGGAGGCACCGGTAGTGGCGGCGGCCGCGGCGGAAGCGGTAACGCGTGACGGCGACGGCGCCCCCGCTTCTCCGGTGGTAGACAGCGCGGAGGCGCGGTTCGACGGCAAGGAAGGCCTTGCCGGCGGCGAGAGCGGTGGCGCAAACGGTTTCAGCAACGAGAACGGCGACGGCTCGTTGCCGCGGCAGCCCCTGCAAACGGAGCAATTGCGAGGCGGCGTGTTCTTTCCGGCGCACCCGCCCCCTGCCCCTTCTCAACAGCAGCAGCAGCAGCAGCCCCCGCCGCAGCGGCAGCCGCAGGATGCCCGTTTGGCGCCGCCGCCTTTCCAGCACCACGACCAAGGTGCCGGCCCCATGCAGCAGCAGCAGCACCACCAGACAGCACACCAGCACCACTATCAACAGCACCAGGTGCTGCCACATCAGCACCAGCACCAGCACCAGCACCGGGGGTATTCCCCGTTGGAAAGCAGTGGCGGCGTGCACGGCATGTCCCAGCACCACCAGCCGCAAATGCCGATGCAGCAGCGCGGGAGCTTGGGCATTGGAGGGGGTCACCAGCCCCACAACTCCGGGAGCATCCACCACCGCGCCGGGCCGTCACACCCGAAGGGGCCACGGGGTGCCGGCGGCGGGAGAGGAGGGGTTGTCAGCTCGAACGGAGGCCCGCTTTTGCCAATGGGAGTGGGGCACTATGGCGGCGGTGCCGGGCTGCAGCAGCAGCAGCAGCAGCAGCAGCAGAGCGCTGCGAGCGGGTACTGGGGTGGCGGGATGATGCACTACCAGGTGCCCGGGCAGCCGATGATGGGGCCGGCGCCCGGCGGGATCGGTGTCACGGACGGCCAGGCCGTGTACTATCCGCCCCCGCCTCATATGATGATGCAAGGCGATGGGTCCGGTATGAACGGCCACGCCGGCGGATCGCCGTGGCACGTCGGAAGCGGTGCTGGCGGCGGCGGTGGGCACATGGGCATGGGGATCGGGGGCGGCATGAACATGGCGGTAGACATGAACGGCATGCCCGGCGCGTCGATGCCGTGGATCCCTGACAGCGGCGGGGGGCAGCACTACATGCAACCACACCCCCGTCAACAGCAGCAAGGGTGGGGTGGGTCGCCCGGGCGTCATGGGGGTAGCAGCATGGGCTACAATGCCGCGCCGTTGCAGCAGCAGCAGCAGCAGCAGCAGCAGCAGCAGCAGCAGCAGCAGCAACAGCAACAGCCGCGGTCGATGCATGCCGCGCCATTGCACCAGGCAAGCGGAGGAGGAACACCCCCACCACCAGCACAAGTGGCCGGGCACCACAGACAGGAGTCAGCCGGTCTTTCCGTCAGAGTGGCGGGTGGGGTTGCGCCGGCGGAGGACACCGCGCCATTCGAAAACGATCAGCAGCAGTCCGCGCCCGCCCATCACCAGGAGGGAGAAGAAGGCGCGGGGCTGGAAGTCGAACGGCGAGAGGTTGGGGTGGGCCCACCGTTGTCGCCGTCGCCGCCGCGCACGGCAGGGCAGACGGAACCGCGGCCTGTTCCGCCGGCTGTCGCCGCCGACGGCGCCTTGGGAGAAACCGCGACGGCGGCGGCGGCGGCGGCGGCCGCAGGGGTGGAGACGCAGACGGAGGCAGCGCCGCAAGCGGCGTCCGAACAACCGGTCGCGGAGGAGACGGCCACTGTTGCGGAGACTGCTCCTCCTCGCGCGGATTTGAAGGGGACCGATCTCAACAACGCCAGCACGGCGGTTGGGGGCGGGAGGGCGGGGACATTAGGTAGAAACGTTGCGGTGGTAGGCGGAGTGGCGGACGCTCGCGCGCCGTCGCAGGCGAGAGGCAAGCGGCAGCCGTTGGTCGAGGAGGTGGCGCGGAGCCAACAGGGGCCGGCGGCGGCGGCGATGGCGGCGGCGGCGGCATTAGAGCCGGCGACTCGGCCGAGAAAAGGGAAGAAGGAGAAGGGGAGGAAGGGGCAGCAGCAGCAGCAGCAGCAGCAGCCGCAAGGCCAGCAGGGTGNGGGGGGGGGGGGGGGGGGGGGGGGGGGGGGGGGGGGGGGGGGGGGCAGCAGCAGCAGCAGGCTAGGGTGCCTGACGGGGGGAAAGGGAGCAAGGGGAAGGGGAGCAAGGGAAGCGCGGGGTCGGGGACAGCGTCGCCGGGGGAGGCGGCGAAGAAGGACGTCCCTTCGCCCTCCGCGCCGATGCCCAGGGGGCTCGTTAACGCCACCGGGCAGAACAACTGCTTCTTGAACGTCGTCGTCCAGTCTCTGTGGCACCTCGAAGCGTTCCGGGCGCAGTTCGGGGGTAGCGGGGGCAGCAATAGCTGCACCACCACCGCGTCGGCCGTAAGCGGCGCTTGGGGAAAGAAGCCGCAGGTCTGGAGGGGCGACGGCCCAGTGGCAACGGTAGCAGCGCCGCCCGCACCACCGGCAACGGCGGCTGCGGAGAAGGAGCCGAGCCATCGCGTGGAGGCGTCCCTCCGAGCGTTGTTCCGAGAGCTCTCCGAGGTCGACGGCGGCGGCGGCGGCGGCGGCGGCGGCAACGGGGTTGGGCGGGGGGACAGCAATAGCAACGGGGGGGGCGGCGGCGGCGGCGGCGGCGGCGGCGGCGGCGGCGGCACGGGAACGACCAGCGCGTCCGTAGAGGCGCTTCGCACGGCGCTGGCGGAGCTGTCGGGGGCGCGGTTCGGCGCCGGCAAGATGGACGACGCGGCGGAAGCGATGGAGACCATCCTGGGGTGCCTCGTGAAGGGATCGAGCCCCGCGGTCATCCGGCAGGTGTTCAGCATGCGCATCAGGGAGGCGCTCGTCTGCCCGAGGTGTGGGACGTCCTCCCCGGAGAAGCCCGCGGCCTATGAGGCGAACGTTTTCTACGCGCACGTGTCGGCGTTGCGGGAGGCGAGGGAAAAAACTCCCGGTTGTCCTTTCGACGTGGCGCTTAGGGTAAGAGGAGAGAGGGGGCGTCGCAGTACAAGGGGGGGGGGGGCGTCGACACCCCGTGTGTTTTTTCACCGTTTTGAGAAACGGTCATGCCTAGCGTAAGTGGGATTTCGGCGTCGCTGACGGTTGTCCTTGGTGCTATATATTCAGGTCTTGACGGCGTTGCTGGTTCTCGTCTACTGCTGCCGTTGCTGCGGGGCGTAATGTGGTAGCATGGCTATTTGTTTAGGACACTCAATCCCAATATGTACTCCCCAAACCTGAAAATATTAAACACCCACAACACTCCAAATATAGCATGTCTTTTTGTTGCCTCGAGCCACGGGCGGCGCTCGCGTTGCAACAATGTCAACGGTGAAAAATCTCTGTTTTTCGCACAACCCCCGACTCCCCTCGTGTACAATCGTCGCACCATCACCTTTGCGCGTAGACCCTCCCACCGTCATTTATCCGTCTCTGCCCCCCCCCCCTGGTGCGTTTTTCTTCCCCCTCGTGTCCTGTTTCGTCTTTTATGTGTGTCGCCAGGAGGCAAGCCACGGCGATCTGATGACGTGCCGCAACGCCGGGTGCTCCCTGTCGAGACGGAAAGAGCGCCTGCCCAGCCAGCGCTTCATCACCGGGGTGCCCCCGTCCGTGTTCTCGCTGGGGCTGGTGTGGAACAACTGGGGTCCCGGCCTCGTGGCCGACCTCCTGGGGTTGCTCAGCCCTGTGGTGGACCTGGACGTGGTGTTTTCTAGGGGACGGGAGCACGGCGTCGCCGGGGCGGAGGTCTCTGCGGGGAAGGTGTGTTGCGTAGCCCCACCCCCCCCTTTGGGTTGGCATTGCAAAATGCAAGGATGATGATCAGCTTCTGGTTCTTTATCCTTGTGAAACGTAGCCTGGGCGGGCGAAAACCCGGCATCTCGCTCTGTCCCGGCTTTTGTAGGGATCCGAGGTCCATGGTGCAACGACTACGGCATGCGTTTGCATGAGAACCCCCTCCCCCCCCCCGCACGCGCCCGGCGTGGGCAGAGTGTCGAGTATTAAGTACAACTTCATTTTAAGAACATGTACATGCAATCACAAGGCTACCCGTTCGGGATACCGTCTAACCACAGCATCCGAAGGGAATGGGTTGAAGTCTTGACAGTGTCGTGGGAATAAATTATTTGCTTGGGCTGTTTTATTCGCAAGAAGAAACTTGATCGTGTTGCCCCTGGGGAACAATCCTGGGGAACGATCCGGTCGTTCGGTCGTCCGCGGGTATGCTGCGGTGTGAGACAATCACGGCAGTAGCAGGTTTCGTCATTTTCTTGGCAAGCGGTTACCTGCGGCATGTCTCGGCTGCAAGATTGGTCTCATAATGGCATGTCCGTTGTTTCTTTTCCTGCTTGGCGAATTTGAAGAGGTCACTCGGAACAGTATCGGTTGAAATTGACGTATGTAGTGATGTAGAATTATGTGACCCACCGCGGTGCTTGTTCATGTTTCAACGTCATGACACGAGGAGGGCACAAATGGCAGACAGAGATTGGCAGACAGACGGAAGCCATGCATTCACGGTCCCGCTCACCCTCCACCCACGGCGCCATCGCCGCCGCTCAAATGGGTCCTCAGGCGCAGCTGAGAGGGTTCTTCTGTTTCCAAGTACAAATGCACCACTACGTGGCCTTCGTGTACAACAGGGACAGGCAGGAGTGGCTGCTGCTGGACGACGACCAGGCAGTGCCGGTAAGGAGCGTTTGGAACAGAGCGCTGTTTTTCCAAAGTTTTGGAATGTTTCCAAAGTAGGGCACTTTGCGAGGCGAAGAGAAAGAAGTTCGAAGCTGCCGTTCCAAATATTCTGGACCCTACTGCTGTGCTGGAAAAAAAAAGTCAGCCTGTTCGATGACTTGTAAATTGTTTTGGAGAGAAAAACTTGGAAAATCAGTCATGTTGAAAACGGCCCTAACGGGATGATTGTAGCAGGGGAACATCTCTTGGGGGCTCGGGAGGGGGGGGAGGGAGGTGTACTCATAGTCGTGCATGCCGTAGTCGTTAGACCATTGACCTCGCATCCCTACAAACCCGGGACGGAGCACGCCGGGTTCTCACCGGACCAGGCTCTCACATCACCAAGCGCGAAGCGCCGTGAGATATCCGGCGAGTCGCATAAAGGGTGCGCTGCATCCTGCTAAGGGTTTTCGGCATCTTGTACTTACTTCCTTGCGTACGGATGACAGCTGCGTATGACTTTATTTATTTTCTGGTGCTTTCACTTCCAGAGACAGTTGTAAGCACTGTGTAACTGCCTCGAGGGTGGTTGACCATTTTAACACAACGTGATGCGATCATCGCCCTTGCGCGGAGCGAGTGTTATCCACCCCGCACAACATGATCTACTCGACCACCACTATGGTTACCGTCAAAAAAAAAACCGGAGGCAAAAAAACAAAACAAAGGTAACCTGGCTGCCGAGTTCACGACGTGAATTGACTTGTTTTACAACGTCGTTGCCAAGCGACGAAAACCCAACCCCGATGGCAAACACCGGGAGGGGCGACTTGTTTTACAACGTCGTTGCCAAGCGACG